TTTTTTCTAAAAGTTCATCATTTCAAATATTGGTTTTTTTCACATTTCTTAAACTTTTGCCAGAGATACAACCTTAATAATGAAGAGATTTATTTCATGAAAGAAACTTTAATTCAAACAATTTTCAGAGAAAATTTTCAGAGAAAAAAATATATTTACGCAGAGAGAAGATTTCCTCTCTGGTTTACGCTACCAGGATTCGAAAAATTAGCCACTTTCATTTTATATGTATGTACATTACGCATTGAGAACTTTATAAGTGGACTTAAATACATGGCTAACATTCAATTAATCAGTGTGTTTATGACACGTAAAGTTATAAAACGCACGAAGGACGAAGAGTGGTTGGTTATAAACGAAAGTAGTGGAAGTTTATGGGATTTATGAAAGTGGTAAGGCGACGGGTCATGAAAGTGTAGATAGATTAAAATTGTAGCTCAAAAATTGTGTACGGAACGCTCTTGTTACCAACGCTACCAGGATTATAGTATAGTTTCTACAATAGTGAATACTGTAATACGTTTTCATCGTATAAAATATTACATATAAAAATGGACTAATCTTTTTACTATAATTCTTATTAATTTTATTACTCTAATCCTTAATTGAAAACTTAAATAATTCTTTCACCGGGAATCGTTAGTTGCCTGGGATTTTAAAGGGACTGAACAGTAACGTGCAGATTTTCTAGCGATACTTCTGAACAGGCTCAAGAAGACCGCGGAGGTCAAAGCGAAGAACACCAGGGCGGGTAGGAACAAAGGAACGGATAAGGTGTATAAGGCAAGAGGAGAAGAGCAGAGCAGTCGTTAATGATTGGTGCACCGGTTCGCGCGTACGTCCGTCAAAAGGGGTGAGAAGTTTGAATAGGTTGCCGAGGGCGTAACAATCTCGCTATGCACGGGCCAAGTACAATATAACTCCCTTGTTTCCCTTGTCCCTTAGGTTTGACATAACGGCTCTAAGCAAGGAGTTGAGAACTAGCGACCCCGGGCTTTATCTACGCCATGGCTCGGATTAACGACACAAAGAGCCAACACGCTACGGCTACGGAATTCGCGCTCTTTCACCGTCGACTTTCCCTCGCTTTGTTTCAACCGTTTTTCACGAAGTGTAGATACGTCAAGATAATACGTCGAGATAACATCGAGTCGTACTATCTGTAGTGGCTCCGTGCATCGTCCAGGCGTCGGACGTCAGCGAAATCAGTGCTGTAGCCTTTAGAATAGACTATTAGCGCTAAATTAGGCGTGATTAATATCGCCTGCTGAAGAGACTCGGTGTCCAATATTTGAGGATTCCGGAAACAGAGTCTGTCGTTGCGATTTACTAAGTGAAAACGAATCGAAGGAGTGCTATACCATGGTAATGTATGGACGAAGTTTGTTACGACAAATAACTAATGGCCCTTTATTAGCACAAAAGAAAACAAACGTAAAAGGAGTCATAGTTGCATTCAGAAGGTTGGAAGATATACAGCTGCGTGACAGTTAATATCCTCACGTCATTTCCCAAGCAAGATTTGTTACAAGTCTTGGGAAAACGGGTATCTACTATGTAGAATCTGATAAATCGAGCAGTCTGTTTAAATTTTGATAAGTCGTCGTCAAATACTAAACGTGAATCCCGGACAATTTACATAGTAAAATGCGATAGAAATGTTAATATCTTTTTGGTTTTTCTCGTGTTCGGTGTATAGATAAAGTCTGAACGATTTGTCAATTTGATAAAGGAGACATACGCAAACGAGCTTGAGATTTGCCAGACAGAGATTTAAGGCACTACACGCGAACAGCAAATATTTGCTTAATAGATTGGCTATACATTTTCTCTCCCGTCGTTACTGCAACACCAGTGTGGCGCGCACTCGGTACATGTATTTTATTTCACGCGACGAGGATACATAAATTTGACGTAAAAAATATAATATGTGCATTGAGTGTGAATTATACATGTTATACACGCATTGGGGATGAGCTTCAAACTTCACTTTTATAAACTGTTATTTAAATTGTTTCAACAAATTAATATTCTTTTTATTCGTTTATTTATTTATTTATTTAGCCTGTACCATTTGGCTTGTCAAGTCAGTGCTTAGAAATAGGCATTTGACGACTTAAGCGATTAAAAGATCCAAACGGGCAGTCAAGATCGAGCTGATTTTTTTAATATCCTGAGGTTTACAATTAAGAATTCGATCTTCGTTGCTCCTAGTCATTTTATAACGATTATGAAGAAAATATCAAATTAGGTCTGTCTTAATTATATTTTCTAAATTGGCACTACAAATATTCTATTTTGCATAAAACCCTTAGCCTAGTAATAGCGTGTATTACATATGTGAATTACTGAACTGTTAACAGCAGGGAAGATAAAAACGAATTTAACATTGTGCTCTAGTGGCTGTTAGTCGAGGTTTTTCTAGGAAATGGAAAAAAGAGGTTGCGTGTTGGGAAGGCCATTACTTGCAAGGATCTAGTAATGTATTCGAAGAAAGCCGATAGATTAGGGGAAATGGGTTACAGGGACGAAAAAGGATGGAGCCGTGATCCAGGGCTCCCCGATAGATCACGCCGGCTAACAAGTGCACTAAATGTCTCTCTCCCCCTGTACGCTGGTTATAATGCGGCAAACTGCACGCAGTTTTTCCCCCGTGGAATGCATTTATCAGCTCGGTCGCCTGTGGGCATGTGCCGCGTCACATACTGTATGTCACACTTGAAAACCGAGACGAGACGCCGTGCGTGATTTATCATCTATTCTTTTTACTTCAAACTAATTTTTTTTCATCTCCAAAATACCAGGAATATCAGATAAGCAATTATGTTCGATAGAAAATTCTCTTTATATTGATCTTGTTAGTATACCAAACGTTCTGGTATATTATGATGTTTGAATGTCTTATAGCTTCTTCAACCCTTGTTTTTATAATTAGGTATAAAACAATTTAAGCCCTCAGTGAATGAATATTGGATTTACAATTATAAAGAGCTGATCATATTCAAACAAATGATTCTAAAATAAAACAATTGAAGTACTCAATGAATAAATGCATTTCATTTTGGATTTACAATTATAAATAGCCGATTGAATTCAAATAAATGATTCTAAAATGAAAGAATTTAAGCACTCAATGAATAAATGCATGTCATTCCTGACTTACATTTATAAATAGCTGATCAAATTCAAAGAAATTATTCTAAAATAAAACAATCGAAGTACTCAATGAATAAATACATTTAATCATTTTGGATTTGCGATTATAAATAGCTGATCAAATTTAAGGAAATGATTCTAAAATTATTGTAACAGCATAAGAAAAATAGTTCAGAATGTACAACTAGTTTTCCTTCTTTTGTTATGAATGAGATTCAAGACAATGGGAGAGTAAACGGAAATATCCCTTTAGCCTGTTTGCTCACGGGAGAATAAGATTCTTTTTAAAATACAACGAGGTAAACATTTTACGAGAGTTCCGAACGTAAAATCAATTATATTTCTGTGACTTCAAATAAAAGTTATTTTTGAAGCGTAAAATTTGTGAAAAAAACAAGAAGATACATTATCAGTTGTTATAGATAATATGAGATACGTAAAATCTTTGATTGCAAGATTAATCGTAAAACAATTTCAATTAATTTAAGAGAGCATTAGGAATACGTTCTAGGAATAGGTAATTCAATTCATAGCATCATATGACTTTTATCGAAAGTATAAAATAAAAGTAAGAATGCCTTGAAACACTAAATCTAGTTGATGAAATCGATAAAACGTGATCATAAAGGTCAAGCATTAAGGTGAACACGTTCTGGAAATCGAAGCAATTTGATAGACATAAAAGATAAGAAGCCCGATAACTGTTGAAATTTAAGGTGGAACGTATGATAGTGACCTGATATTAGCACGTTTAATACCACTTAGCTTGTTGGAGTCGAACACAAGGTAATACTATACAACTACGTAAGACAGAGATAAGTTAAGGTGCTAGGATAGTCAACAAGCCTGTTCTAACATTCGTTACTAATTCAACCATTTTTGACAATAAGGATTGGTAGCTCAGAAACGTTCTGAAAGCTTCGAAGACGAGTAACAATAAATATATTCCTTATATTAAGGGAAATATAAAAGGAATTTGAATTTTACATTAACAGATATACATTTTCAGTAATCACGAATTTTTCAAAAAAAGTCTTAAACGTACTTGTACAAAAATTAAGTCATTACAAAACATGGACTTGTATCTATAAATTTAGAAGTGTTTTTAAAAAACTTGGACATGACGAAGTTATTTAGTTAAAATAAGATCATATTTCATGATTCATTTCAGTTCTTCAAGTGCTTATAAAATTTTTTTAGATACTCAGGAGTGACGTAACCCTGATGACCGAGGTTATATTATTATTATAATTATTTATAATATATTATAATATTACATTATTATATAATAAAAATATAGCCTGAAGTACTATATAATAACTTTATATAGCCAGCAATATTATATAATAATAATATCGGTATAATAATAAGTATAATCGACGCTAGTAATATGCTATCCAAAGAGAATTAGATGCTATCACAATAAATGGTTAACTGGTATACATTTATGTCATAATCACTTACCTAGAACTGACGATGTCCGTTTTGCGATGAAGTTTTCTCCAAGATCACTGAGTTAAGAGACACGATGGTATCCCAAATGTGTTCGATAAAAATGCGAACCGAAACAGAAATTTGAATCGGGCAAAACGCGGACGAATTTCTATTCGAATAGTCTCCAAATACACGTATTCGCTCGTCGCTTTGGAGTTGGTCGCGTTCAGAACCGGATACATTCAATTACTCGCTGACGACGCGAGACGAGGCGACGCGACAGCAGCGGCAGTCCACTAGCGAAGTTAATTGTCCATGGAAAGTTCACAGTGCTATATAACACGTATTGCGTGCCACAATCAACCGGAATATTTACTTTGCAAAGTCCGTTGTATGTTCCCAAAACGACGTACGTACGTACGTGTATATGTATGTATGTATGTATGTATGTATGTGTGGGTGGTTTGCCAATGCCACGTGAGACTTAAACTCGAGCAAGGAGTCGACTGGAAGGGAACACACTTTACGGTGCAGCCTGAATTTATGAAGAGTCAAGGAGAATTCGACTCGCTAGATCTTATCAATGATGATTTTTATTGTGGTGATACGTAATCGATGTTGCCATGAGGAAGTTGTGGAGTGAATGTTAAGCTATCATTGATTTGGTGTAGCTTTCATCAATTTTTAATTAGTGTTACAGAATAACACGAATTGATTTAACGAAAATGGACAATCGGTATTTCTGTACAGTGCTTGGAGAATATAGAAGTATTTAAGAAATCATGTGTTGAATTCGAAATTAATATAAAAAATATCAAGTACATGGAGAGGTACAATGTAATGAAACAAGATATTCAGTCTTCCTATGTAGGAGTTCTTGAATATGGAATAGTTTAAAAAATCGTATGTTCAGTTGATTTGAAATTGATATGAAAAATACTAAGTATATATAGATACAATATAATGATACAAAATAATAATAATATCGAATATTGTTTGTGAATTACTGAAATTTATTAATAATTTTTATATTACTAACTCTCTTACTGATTTCTATGTTACTAATTTATTAATAATTTTTGCTCTTAGTCGCTGGTAAATAATTTTAATATGTGTATCTGAAGCAAGTACGGAAGTCTTTTCATGAATTTTACGTGTCATTGTTGTCTCATTCCCTGTAGACGAGACGGAGGACTTGGCATTAGCGAGACATTCGCTAAAGACGGTACTAATGAGAGAGAAATGATTACATTTCTTCTGTTAGAGCACGACGTCTACTTTTTGTCATCTTTTTGCCGTCCGAAAGAGGGAACGGCGAATTTCGCAGTAGGGATAACGGAAGCTTATTTGCGTCTAGAACACGTGACATACCGGCAATTCGTAGGTAGCGGAATGTAAAAGGTATAATTACAAGAATAATTGCCGTCTCGTTTGTTTTCTCGGTTCTTAAAATGAGATCGTTACCAAGTACACTGCCTACTTCCGCGGCGGCACGATGGTGAGGGAGGACGGTACGAGAGGGAGGAACGAAGAGACAAACAGCGGAACGGTATGCTTTTCTCACGTAATTAGCCGCTTCGAGGAAGAAATGGTTACGGGTAAGAAGGGAAATAGTTCTGTCGGAAACACGGAGAGGTTGTTTTTCGCTGGAAAAAGGAAAAATAATTAACCCTACCATTCGCCTCTTCTAAACACTCCTCACTTCGCGAAGTCTTATTTCGGGGTTTTTAACTGTTAGCCGTTTACAACTACGAAACGTCACTCAACTCCTTTCTTTAGTCGGCGAGTTTGATTAGGAGATTACAGTTTATTACTACGCTTAACTGTAATTAACACGTTCCGTGCCACGTGTACCACCGGTGGTACACGGTAAACTTGATCGTCAGGCCACGTGTACCACCGGTGGTACACGCAGTTATATTTATTTAATGCGCTGAAAACATATATTTTATTACAAATATAATTCTGTAAACTATATTTCTACCTAAAAAATGAAGCATTATACAAGATGCAGTAAAGAACAAAACACATAAGTTTATTTAATTGTTATATATACAATAATTAATAATTACATTTAATGATAATATATCGATCTTTAGTCAAAATATCAAATGGCCTGAACGACAAGTCAGGCAAAAATGGCTTGGCACGGAACGTGTTAATAATGGTTAAGGAGTCAGCGAAATGCATGAACTTGAAAATGCTATTAAAAAAGTGTGGATTAACCATTTGCATCATACGTTGCAGCTCACAGATATTTATAATACTTCATATGATAATTATTGTAATACTTCTTCAACCCATTTGCATCATTAGAAAAAGTGGAAAATTAGCTCGTATCGCCAAGATTCTTGTGACCAAGAAAGTTGAGCGTATATACATATACGCTCCGGTGATAGTAACCAGGAAAACATATATATGTATTTCAAGTGATGGTATTATTAAATAACTGCTTAAATATATGTATAATGCGACGTAATAAAATACAAATTATACATATGTATAATTGTACATGTTACAATTTCTCTTATATATTCTTTTTCCATTTTCCAAAATAAATAGTAATTGTTTCAATATCATATCAGATATTATAAAAATCATAATTAGGCTATTTCAGTTTATTTTGGCAGCTATGAAATGGATATGAATATTACAATTGTAGCAAGGCTACTTACTATAAAAAATCACGATTCCTGATTTGGCTTAACTCGTGATCGTGATTTTGTGATCATCATCAGTGATTTTCAACGTTATATCTACTTGAGACATTGACTTCCTTACTTTTCAATTTATCAGTGCTACGATAAAGATATTAAATCCAGAAAAAGCCGTAGTATGGTTAACAGTTTCGAAGTTCCCGAATATGTACGGCGAGCCCGGGAATTCTCATTACTACGGATCTCGATGAACTGATCACGTGTTTCAACTACGTGACCACAATGTAAACTCTCTTTCGCCCTCCCCACGTAACATCGGAACTTCGTCGAATCGGACAAATCTCAGGAATTTATCCAAGAACCACCACGTACCGTACTATAACTGAGCAAGGAAACGAGATTACCGGCTTGGCTTTTGATTAGCTGTTCATGTACCTATGCGACTTCGTTTCCGATCGATAATCGAATTTCTTGCTCGTATTTTAATTCCCCGATTGTCGTGCACGATTTCCTTCTCCCAATCCCTCATCCTACGTTCGAACCAATTATCCCGTTTCCTCTCCTCTTCCCCTACTCTTCGTTTCAATGCTTGACTCTCTCATCGAAAATATTTAATCAAATGCAAATCGACCAATTAATGATTCCTTATCTTCGAAACTAATGATTCCAAAAATTAAAACACATTACGAAGAAGCTACTGTGACATCTACTGTTGCCTATCGAATTTCAATAGGCAAATGGTTAAGTAAAGGATGAATGAACGGGAAAGGTCTTGGTAAAATGTTCGGTGAGGAGGCAAGCAGGGTGCTCGGATGCGCGCATGTTGAAGCGGAAGTGGAGCAACATAACGCGAAGTGGGACAGTAGCTACACCCGGGGAGGAATAGTTCTCAAAGAAATATCTACGTAATACATGACTTTGCTTTGAATTGCACAAAGGTCCGTTCAGCGATATAACATTTGCCGCGAATATGCGTCAGTTTTCGAGGCTACAATCTGTAATATGCTGTGTTTCCCTTTGAAAAATATCTACAAAGGCGCTCTATTTCCCCCTACCTCACTCCCTCCCTGCTTCCATACAGCAAATTTTTGGCCACTTTTACGGCCACGCGTGATATTTTATGTCACTGTTACGTATGCGAACGTACATACGTACGTTCAGCAAAAATGCAATATAAATTAAACATTCTTTCAACTTTGTTAATTGACATTTTTCCCTCTATTACAGTCATTTCACAACAACAACATCATATTTTATTGTTACTCCTCTAATGGGAGACACGCTTTTTAATTGTGTACTAGTATATTAAAATATAGTTAATAATAATAAATATAATAAATAAATAAATAAATAAAAAATAATAAATAATTATTAAATAATAGTTAAATAGAAAATTGAAGTACATAGTATTGTTCCATTATTAATAGTTGTGAAGAATTACTATTAGCCGATTAGAAAATTGACTTCATCCAGTTTCTGTTAAATGAAACGCGATAGTATCCGTTTGCGGTTAGTAGACTCCTCGATTAAAGCTAGAGGATAGGAAGAGGGTCCAATAATTGTATAAATAGACACCGTGGAGCAGGTATAGACAGCTGGTCAAAAATTTTAGATAACTGCTTAACTTATTATTTATTTTAATGCAGTATATATTTATCATCAAATTATTCATTCGCGTGAACGACGACTATCGAAATTTTTGTAGAACGTGACCGGAACTGTTGACTCGATGCAAAAGTTTCGATAGGGCGAAACGCGTCGGGGTTCCAAGGCAACAGGGACTTAACCGAGGAGCGGAACTTCGTAACTTGTTTCTTCGTCGAAAATCATCTTGTAAGATCTACAAACACCGGGAAATGCAAGCGGAAAGATGCTCCGACGTTCTCGAACTGGATTAACGTAGTAATAAGATTTATACAACTGCGACTCCGTCTCCTTACGACGCGACGCGGTGCAGGGGTTGTACGTATCGCGAGGAGAAACTCTTATCTCGTCGACCTGGGGCAGACGAAGCGATTTTACATAATGCGAAATACGGTTTTTCTTGTAAAACGTTGTTAACTGCATTGGCCTGATGAATTTACGCGAGACGCGACGCGCCACGTCGCGTGGTGGCTGTTTACCATTTTACACGCTATGATAAATCGTCGGACCGCTTCAAGCTCCTCGACTATGGGAAACCAGTTTACAAAGTAAACTTACTTCGCGAACTTTCCCGCTTGTCTCCTGTTTGTGAATACATAGATGATTCGGTAACAACCTTTCGAATGTGGAATAAATGCGCGCGCGACCTTACTCGAGAGGTTCAAACCCGAACGGCCCTGTCGTAAACAATTTCAAAAGTTTTATGCTCAATTTACAATACACGCATAACTTTTTATACTAAGCACAGTCGTTTAGTTTATCATTTTTTAATGAATGCTTCTATTTCATCAAACGATTCATATGTTTTTTTAATAGGCTCGCACTAAAATTTTGTACAATGTTTTATTAATGTAATATCTAATGGCTGTTAAAATTTCAATGCTTTGTCATTGCTTTTATTTAAGGGTTCATACAACCTTAATTCTATGATTACTGGTACGTTCTCTCATCTGTACGTCTATACATAATACATGATTCATGAAAGGCTACTCGACGAACGTACTTGATGCATCGTCGGAACACTTGTTTTGAAAGCAAAAATAAGCGGGAAATATTCTGGTAAAGATAAACGAATGAACAGTATAAAATAATTTGCCAATCTAATAAAAAAATACCATAATTTAATTAAATATTTTACCGGGAACCGAAAAGCGTTCGCAATAAAATATGAGCTGAACATTTTTCCTACCGCGGATATTTCATTCCCGTTTATTACCACGCGGAAACACGAATACAAACGAAAATACATTTTTAGTGTTCACATTGTCCGTTCGAGAGCTTTCATTGTGCGAGGTTCATTATACGAAATAGACGTTTACATTACTCTATTGAATGCAGTCAATGAAATTTGTCGGACAAAGAGCGGGACAAGCGGTCGACTATTCGAATAATTTGATTTGCATAAACAATAAGGGCCGGAGGAAGGGAACGCATTGTTTCCCATTGTGTCGATATCTTTTCCCAGTAATTATAAACAACGGTGGACAGACGGGCGAGAAAACGGGCGGAGAGTGGCGGAGCGAGGCAGGAAGCCGGTTCGGTGAAAACTTAATTGCGGACGAAAGAACTGAATCGGAGAGTGGGACAAGTGAGTCGGATTCTTGGCCTGCGACCCACTTAACCTTCTTAACTTTAATCAATATATTTCAGAGATGGGTTCCTCTATAATTAGAATAATGGAAGGTCTAATAGGGGTTTCTGTGTACGCGAGCGAGGACGAAATTGTGGATGGAAAGTTTAAAAGCGTCTCTCCTCCCGGTGCCTTTGGTGATTAGAGAGCGGCAGTGGGCGCGGTTACTTAGCTAGTTAACCGATTCGCTCGCTCGCGCGGCTGTGCTTTCGGATCGAAGCCACGTTTCACAGACACGATTTCCATCGCCGCCACTCGCGTTCCTACGGTTAAACGTTACGGATTTCCAAATATCATTGCACGACATGCGTGCGTACGTGCCTCGTTCGTGCAGCATGGTCGCATGAGATATTACCAAGCAAATGGATTTCAGTCTCTTAGTTTATGCTAGAAGAGAGATTCAGTTAAAGTCCAACGAAAACAGAGAGAAACTTCATTTTTAATCAATGTTTGTCATGTTAAAAAATGTACAATATGTTAAAAGAAGGAAAATGTCTCTTGAGAATCTACTTTTCAAACTGACGTCATAAATATTTTATTTTGCAAATATAAGCAGATTATTTATTAAACTGACAAAATAAAATTACTTTTGCAAAATCACTATGTAATTTTTCTAGTAGACATCTCTATCTGTAGATTAAAAAATGAACATCCTCGCGCTCTTAGTTTTCATGTAATATCTCATCTTCCAAGAAATCATGCATTCTCGTAAAAATCATTTTTCAGAAACGGCATGTAAAATATAGCATTTCTGTTTCTGAATCTGTTTTTTTCATGAGATACTCTATAAGAATCACGTAGTAAATATTGCAAGATAATTTTTTGTATTGCACAAATATTGCCAATAATTGTGCGGAAATTGAAAATTTATTGTAATTACTGGACTGCGGACTTTTCTGCAAAATCATATTTCCTGAAACATGGAATCCATTTATACAGAATTGTCGTTTGCGTTTCCTATTAACGCTGATAGCGAATACTACGACGACCTCTCAGTTTATTAAAAACCTCTTATCAATCGAATAGTTATTCGATTTTCAAATCGTAAATGTTAATCAACTATAAGCGAAAGAAATAACGAATTGGCAAAAATTGGTACCGGTGTATTTTTTAATATTTGAACAAGAATTTCGTCGACGGTTACCTCGAATTGCGTTTCCTATTAACGCGCCGGGAGCAGTAATATTTTCCGTGTTAAAGGGAAGCGCTAGTGCGAACGACATGGACGTGTTTTAACGTTCAAAATTCTTCCTCGACAGAAATTTTCATATCTGTAAAGGATACGCCGAGCGTAAAATGATTTGATATTGGATTCGGCCCGATTTTAATATGATCGAGAACGACGTGTTAGATAAACGGATAAATTTTATCGCGCCGGAATGAGAAATATGCGCAACACGTACACGCGAAAAGGTTTCCCGTGTCCTCGTTTAATTTTTCACGCGGTAAGGATAACACCGCGCATCGTTTACGGGACTTGTTCCATCAACGAACAGGGAGATATTTTTATTACCCTTTCATTATATGACAATAAATTCTCATTATCTCCCCGTTTCGTCGCGTACAAGAGACGAGGACAGCGATTCAGTTTTTCCACGGCACCTTGACACGCGCCGTGGCGTTCAATACAATTTTCATTCGCGATTTATACATTTAAGCGCAAAGCGTACAATAAATGTTGTTGCAAAAAGAGGTGGAGGAGCGAACGTGTCAGGGAACTCTTTGACAAAGAGTCGGACTCTCGGTGAAATAAAACGATAAAACTAATAAAACGGGATAATATACAGTGTTGTTAATGTGTGGATAGGATAAAAGGTTTTTCGCGCGTCGCACAGAATGGCAGAACGTGTTGACAATGCAACAGCGGAGCTGAATTTTGCAACGGGAACGCGAATCGATGTACGAAATATTTTATCGTATCGATGGGTCATCGGTGTGGATATCGTTTTCACCTATACGAGTTTCACGCCCCTAGGAATAAACATATGTATTTGCATGCGAGCATATTTCAACTTCAGCACAGGTTTGCGCGTCCGTTGCTATGCGTCATCCAGTTTTTTTTTTCGTTCCTTCGCTCCTCCTCACTCTCAGCCCGGGTTCAACCCATGATTCATGAACACGTCGGTGTGTTATAAACAATACAACGTTCATAGTATGTACATACATGGTGGGGGCCCATAAGATATGCTATTATGAAGCTGATTGGAACAGCCAATCACGTGCCTTTCCTTGTAATATTGCCTTATTCATTAATTGTATTTTGCATTAAAGAGAAGGAAGTCAAATAGTATCGAAAGTTAAAACTAATTTAACTTCTTAAGTCAAAGTCTAAATTGTATTTTGTTAATTTGTTTAAAAATTTTATAACTTAAGAATAATAAAAATAGAAATAGAATAGAAAAGTGATAATAGGAAATTTTTTAGTATTAAACTATTCCAGTTGTTATTTTTTTTTTATTTTTCAACAGCACAGCCTAGCATTTTTGTCGTTTCTATCAGTTTTTATCAGTGTTCATTGTTGTCAACAATAAGTGGTCATTTTTCAACATGGCCGAAGTGTGGAATGCGCAATGACGAAAATGATACCTTTGGAAGAACGCACCTTATGCACGTACGTATTTTCACCATGTTCATAGTATATGTTATAAGGCGAGTGAAGCATAGACTTAATACAAATCTACATATATCCATACACATATCTATGGGGAGAAGGCTTGAGCACGTATGTAAATGTATAGACTTAAGTGAGTAATTTTTTAATATAGACAAACTTGGATACAAAAAAATTTGTATAAAATCCCTAATCCCTGAAGATTATTGAAAAACAAATGCAAATGTATATGCACTTGTGATAATACTATTTTGCCACGAATACATAGTTTCTCCTTGAATCATTTATCTTATCTTGTAATACTTATTTTTCAAGTTTTTATCAAACGTGAACAATTATAAACGTCATACTCAAAAAGCTGATAATAATGCTACGTAAACACTGATTACGTGATTCCTTTGCTATACATATTAATAGTTCTTATCAATGATAATCATCTCTGGTTTAGTTGTCTTATTGCGTCCTAGTGACCCTTGATCCAGAGAAGGATTGGACACCCACAGTACATAAAAATGTGCCTAAACCGGAAGTTGCATATTCAAAACGCGAAATTTCAAAATTAACACGTGAATATAAACGATGTCCACTGTCCATACGTCAGTGAAATAAAAATTAACATTTCGAACGTTCTTTTAAGAATAAATAAAATAATCTTACATTGTTTTGTATAAATATTTATTCCGCGAGTTTCGTATCACGATCGAATCCTAACGTAGAATAGCAGTATATTTAAACTTGCACTTTATCCCTATTTCCGCGTTAGGTGCTCTTTTTCGCAGCTAATCAGAAATCATCGCTTAGGTGTGGAGTCACTCCCTGGAGAGTCACTGGGGTGTCTTATTGACGTGTCCAGTCACTCCCTGGTGGGTCGCTAGCTTTGATCAACGTCGCTCATTTGATCTCAACATTCGCGTTACACACGCAGACATACTCAAGCCTGTATCCGCCCTTATGCCCGTCGCGTAATGGACGGGAGAAAAAGTAGAAGATCGGACAAAAGCAACATGTCCGATATTTGACACATTAACACAAATCCATAGACAGACGAAATCCACAAACGTTCGGAATAGAAGAACCATGAAATAAATTTTGGGGGTAAACCATACGTTACGTACGTGCATACGTTCGGCAGCTCCGAACCCCGGGGGATCTCACGAGTTTAACGTAAGAGGCATCGATGCGGGAACGTTGGTTCGCTCGTACACGTTTTAAATCGTCGACGAAGCATCGGGGATAATAAGAGTAACACCGTGAAACCGTAAATACTTATGCGCAGAGTAATCTTTCGCGAAGTAAGCAGCCCCAAGCCACAGCCAAGCCCAGCCATTTCCCGTAACGTAAGAAACGAAGATAGATGCCGTCGTTCTCCGAAACGATGAAATGAAGTTTACACCCACGAAATTGTTCGTCACGGTTCCGAGAAGTAGAACTAAATATGGCAAGTATAATGCCGAGTGATGTATGCAACTTTGTAAGCGTGCCGTTACGCCTCCAGCGTTGACAATCTTAATACACCCGCAGGACGTGTTCCCCTCGCATACAACTGGCTGCTGTTACGTACCGTGGAATATTCCCCTGTCGTTTGTAATTTGGACTTTAATGCCAAATCAAATTTTAACGCATACACCGCCAGAGATTATGCGTATTCAATTTTGAAATCGATTTCAAACTTGAATAAGGACCGGACATACGTATGAACATTTTAATCAGCTTGTAATATAACGATTATACCGGCAACGATAATACACACGGACGTGCGTGACGCTTAATGCCTATTCATAACATTTGAATTTATATTGATAATTTATCCAGGAGAAAATTGAGTGTAAGCTAATGCCGAATAATCTCTCTCCGTCTATCAAATTCCGTGAACTTAATAATTCAGTCTCATCAGTCATTAGCAGTATCACAGCAGCCGCGTTCATTACAATAATTATACGGTTGATATAACAGCGATAATAATGATTAATTAAAATTTTATGTGATCGACGTAGCCCGCGATTTCAGTGATAATAATAGCATACCGATAATACTTAATATTTCTATGTTGCTCGGGCGAAAATGATATAAATTAGTTTGGACACGATTCCTTTACGGCAATTAAATCGCGAGTTTCGTTCATGAATCGAAAGAGACGATGATAAGCATAATTGATATTAAATTAATATGATCCTTTTAATAACGGTAAAAAGCAGCTTCGCCGAAGTTCATTGCGCAAAAGGTTAATTACTCAGGCGATCAAGCTCGGCAGACAATAAGGCAGCCAGGTTAAACAAGCGAGCTGATCGATTTAGCCTCTTTCGCTTCATCCGGCAACTATTCAATGCGAAAATACATTTCTAAATAGCATCGTTCGCTTCGATTTAAGTCCTCTTCTTAATATGTAAGAATTATTCCAATTAATTGAACCTATTTTCACGATTTATGTAGGAACTGACCTAAAATGATACAATCGTTCGGTTCATGACGCAAAAATGGATTTACCACTTGATTTAAGGTACGTGCTTCTCGATGATTATCTACTTTCTTCTAGTGACGACTCATTTTATTTGCTAGTGAAATTTTTAATTAATTAAGTCGGTGTGTGAAAATTCGCAGACGATTAGTCTGTGAAATAAAATTAGATTTAAGAAGTTACCATTTGCCAAATGTTGGAAACTGAGGACGAAATTATTTCCGGTATTTAATAAATTAGAACGTTTCACGTTCATCGGTCAAGGGACAGTGGCGGCCCGAAAGAATCGACCAGCACAGACACCGAGGATAAAGCCGGCCAATCGAACTGCAAATTGACTCCTTTGATCGGGCTGGAGAAGAAGGAGAGCCCGGTGAATCCGTACAATCGGGCGGACTGGACGAAAATGAACACGAAGTGGCCGCTGCCCGACACGGATGACAATGAGATCAGCGTTGTTAACAGCCTGCCGCAGCTCGACTGCGGCCCGTTCCCGAAGTCGTACATGGACACGTGTTCCTGCTGCCCGCGGGACATCTTCGACAAGCACGAAACCGACACCATACACAATTACAGGAGCATCGTCTTCAAGGACGACGATTGTTGCAAATCGCAGTGGGTCAGGAAGGAACGTTATCAGAAGATCAAGGCGAAGGTTGGCAGAGCCATCAAGGTACCATCCTGTCACTGTCTTCATACAAAAATTGTTATGCTGTGGCAAAATGTTGAATACCTATTTTTATCATTTTCTATTTTTCTTCTTTTAAATAAATTCTTATATACAAAAGAAGATTCATGGAAAGAGACAATGATCATATATTTTTTTTTTTATGTCGTGGCAAAGAATTGAATACTTCCTAATCTTTTTTTTACATAAATGGTTCAGTATTCCTGATATACGAAAAATAATTCAGCAAAGGAGACAATTATCTTATAGTTTCTTGGTACTTTTTGAATTTTGCAACTCATTTCATTTTTCAAACAATATTACTTTTTCCCCTGCGTCGTTCAAATATAGTTTATCATACTCACAATTAGACACGTTCTTAATAGTTCATTAGTGAAGGAACTACCGAATGGTAAACGGATACTATGGACTTAAAGGTACTTTAAACGGGATGTAATAACTGTTTTTAGAAGCACAAAATATTTTTGATACGCGGTGAAGTACCGAAATTGAAGGAAGCTCTAGAGAAACGGGGCTGGGTGCAGAAATACGAAGCTACGAAAACGAGAACACTACCTTACGGTTAGTTTCCTCGCCTCCTTGCTTAATTAAATCTTTTTACGTTACATTTTTACTCTCTTTAATTAAAAATTGGCCGTGCCAACGAACTTCGAGTAAAAAAGAGAAAAGACCAGCGGAGCAATTTGTGTGTTCGTACCAGAGGAGAACGTAATTTATTGTAGGCATTTAATTTACGATTACGGAAAAAGAATATGTCAAATAACTATGAAACTTCCTTTTGGAAGATCTTCACTGGATCTTTTCAAGTGACGCAAAGTTTAAAGGCAAAATCTTTCTTAACGCAAAATAATAATGTAAAAATCTAGCTTATTACGGAACTTAATTTACGGGCAGAGAGGGGAAAAAGGAAGAAAAACACACTGGGGGAGTTTTAATTTTCTTTGGAAATTCTTTATTGGACTTTTAGGTAGCGTGGCGAGCTTGGAAGCTAGATCGTTGGGTGACTTGACCCAACCGGACGGCAATTTAAACGAGAGAGCGGTAATTTTCGCTTTATTGCGTCACAAATCGCCGGACTTCATATGGGACTGTCGAAACGACTTCGTAGACTGGCATCGCGGCCTCAGCAGCAATACGATCCTCAACAGATACCAAAAACCGTCTGTTTACACATCTAAGGTTATTACCATACCTTTGCTTTATGATTCTCCTCCCTTGAAAAGTGGAACTTAAAAATTGCTGGTGACAGTCAATTCCTATAAAAATTACATCACAAATTCGCGTAAAAATTCTCCAATTTATCCTTTTTAAATTATATTTCACAAAACATTAATTACTAACATCGTGAGATTGTACAAGCATTTATTTATATCAACCAGATTTTAAATGAGAATTTTAAAATCATGTATTGTACGCATGTAATATACAGGGTAAGGCATTTAAAACAGGCTACTCTCTTTTTTGTGATGATTCTCATTTGATTTTAAGGGGGAAATGTGCTCATGCAAAAAAAATTGTGGTTCAGGGTGTAGTGGAGGTTTTATAGTCATGCCTGTCTTTCAAATGGAATTGTATAGTTTTTCCTGAACTGAATCGATGAAGTTCCATATTTTCTATAAAAGAGTACAAATATTACCTATTAATACGGTTTTTTAAAAATTATTTAAAGAGATACTTGGATTTTAGTATTGTTACGAAATCACGATTCTCTTGATAATGTAATAATTTTATTCGCATGAGAATTTTAAAATCATGTATTGTACGCATGTAATATACAGGGTAAGGCATTTAAAACAGGCTACTCTCTTTTTTGTGATGATTCTCATTTGATTTTAAGGGGGAAATGTGCTCATGCAAAAAAAATTGTGGTTCAGGGTGTAGTGGAGGTTTTATAGTCATGCATGTCTTTCAAATGGAATTGTATAATTTTTCCTGAACTGAATCGATGAAGCTCCATATTCTCTATAAAAGAGGACAAATATTACCTATTAATACAGTTTTTTAAAAATTAGTTAAAGAGATACTTGAATTTTAGTATTGTTATGAAATCACGATTCTCTTGATAATGTAATAATTTTATTCGCAGAAAGCGTGGCGACCCTTGTAATGATCGTCTTAGATTATGTAAGAAACTTAAAAATATGTCGCGAGTTAGAGTTATTCGGGTGGCCTGTTTTAAACGCCTCACCCTGTATATTTCGTCTCCTATCTTATTTCTGCTAAACGTGATCTCGTTGCCAAGTCGGTAAAGCATTCGCTGTGGAAACTAATGCAGCTAGGAATGGCTCGTTTGCTGGAGGAAGCTCACTGGCTTTACGAGAAGGACGTGTCGTCGGTGTTGTTCCCGAGGAGTTACAATCTGAGCAGGGAACCTAAAGCGTTCCTCGAGGATTTTCGTTTGACCGCCGCGACCGGTCTGCTAAAATGGTTCGCTCAGAAAATGCAGGACGATCAAGACCTACCGGACAACGGTCACCGTCCAATCCCGATGAGTCGACTGGAATTCGCCATAAAACGGTGCGAAGAATTCGCCGCCTGCGCGAACCATCAGAACATCGACGAGGACTTCGTCCAGGAGTTCACCGAGGAGGAGTGGAATTCCTTCTTGGACGATTATACCGCCGTGGTGCACGAGGGAGCTGGAATCGAGTGCAACTCCGAAAAAGGCAGGGAACAGTTACAAGTACGATCGGTGTTTTTATTTTTATGGAACGTATAATGCTTTTCACTGGAATAGCCTAAAAATTTATAAACGTACATAAGTTCAGGTCGAAGAAAGGAATTTTATTGAAAATTCATCAATTCACAGAAAGCTATAAAAATTATTGAATTAAAAACAAAGACTGAACTTCTTATTTAATTTCCTTAATTGTTTTTTTAAGATATTTTCTGATTAATTATTTTTTTAATTAATGATTGATATTTTTTTTAACATATCATCGATTTTATATTAAGATGATCAAAGAATGTTGTTCCATAGAAATATTATGAGGCTACAACTTCGACTTTGGAGAAGTTGAAAGAAGCTGACCCGCAGTACGACTTGAATGGCATGAGGAACATTTGGATTCTGAAACCGAGCGAACTCTGTTGCGGCACGGGGATCAGTATATCGCACAATTTGAAAGATATATTTCGCAAGATAAAGAGTAGGCCGAAAGATTATTTCATTGTACAAAAGTACATTGGTACGTGAACAGTTGCCATTTGCAAACTATACTTTAATTAGATTTTAGAAAAAGTAGTTTTTATTTTAATTTCAGAACGTCCTTTATTGATCCACGACACTAAGTTCGACATAAGACAGTGGTACCTGGTTACAAACACGTTCCCCATGACAATATGGGTGTTCAAGTAATTCTACTCCTCAGTATTTAATTTTTCACTTAAAACGTCAAAGAATATTTTGTTTGATTTGTTGTATTTGATTACAAATACGTTTCCCGTCACAATATGGGTGTTCCAGTAATTCTACTGATCAATACTTAATTTTTCACTTAAGACATTAAAGAATATTTCGTTTGTTTTCTGAAACGAGCTCTTGAAAATAAAAGTAGTAAAAAGAACTAGTAGAGATGCCGGTGAAACTTTAGGAAGCAGATTTTTCCGAAGGGGAGAAGCACTTTCGAAATTTCTTGGAAAGACGCGGAGGCGGATTCCATAAAAGAATTTCCCTCGATGCCCTCTTTATTATTTTCCTATCAGGGAAGGGCTGCTTCGATTCAGCTCGAAACCGTACACTTTCTCAACTTATCACGAGGCGATTCATATCTGCAATACCGCCATCCAGGAGAAGTACGACGAGGAGAGGCGGAGGCGGCGGAAGCGCGGGAATTCGGAGGAGATCGTAAAATCTATTCGCGATCAAGGATGGGATTGCGAGAAACTGAACGAATATTTAAAGTAATCTCTCAGACTACCGAGGGTCTCCGTTTTATTCGTTACACCGTGAAAGAAGTTTCGGCTATCCATTCGTTACGCTCGATAACCTTCAGTGATTTTGAGATTGATAGCACCGCCGCTTGAATATGTTCCTGGCTTTTCGCCGTAATACCAATTTTAAGATCATTCCTCAAAGTCAATAACATATTCACAGTAATTATACAAAAATTTTAACTTTATTTTTGTATCATATCTTCTTGAGTGCTAAAAATATTTAGATTCGTTTCGAACAATTATTTTGTCTAATTCATATTAAAATAGATTTAGAAAAAAAATTCTTCTATATTCGTTAAACTGATGATTATGTCGCAATCACGGAGATATTGTACGACTAATGTTCTGTTGTATTAGACAAACGGGTCTGGAGGGTGATCCATATTACGACAAGATTTTCCCGAAAATGTCCGAGGCGATAGTCTTGACGATGCTGGCTTCCCAGGAGCATATGGATCGCAGACGTTGCAGCTTCGAACTGTACGGCGCCGATTTCGTCGTCATGGACGATCTCTCGGTCTGGCTGATCGAAATAAACACGAATCCTCGAATGCACCCACCCAGCTCGAGAATTACTAAACGCCTTTATTCTAACGTTCTCGAAAGCCTGGTAAAAGGTTCGTATTTATACTTGCTTACATGTACAGGCACCCGGAACAATGGACAGTCCTTTATTTCCAAAGTTATGGAAGATGGACAAAAGTTTTTATACCGAATTTATAATCGCACGGTTCAAAGGGGGACATTTCTTAATGGAAATTAATTGTTTTTATTACTTAATGAGATACGAGGGTATAATTCGAATTAAATATTTATTTTTGCATCATTTGATACAAAAAAGTATATAATCCTACTGTAAAAAGATTGACCTTAGGCATTTTATTAAATAATAACGTAAAAAGAAATTCGTTTCCGTCAAAAGACGTGCACCCTAGAACTGTGTAAGTTCCGTACAAAAACTTTCCTCTATCTTCCATAACTTTGGAAATAAACGACTGTCCAGTGTTTCGAGAGACACCTTGTGCAGTTCGTATAGAATGTAGATAGAAACAAGTTGTCAGAGACCAGATGGGAAGTTTTCGGAGATGGGATCGAGGAGAATGGGGGTATATTGTAGAATTTTTATACGAGTATTCGATCATTTAACTCTTTTTACTGCCCATCGCAAAAGTTGTACATTACTAAACTTTGAAATCTTATAATTTATGAAACATCCTGTATATATTTGTAAAGCCTTGAACGACTAGCAGTTAAGCTCAAGGAGAGAGTATTAGAGTTTTACGGAATTTATAAAAATTATTTTATGACAGAGTTCTCTTGCGATACTATCAGATGAACAACGATATATCGTCGTTGTCACTAAAACGGGTAATTGACCTCGCCAGTACTCTTCTACACTAATTAAACAGTTCCGTTCGACCGGGATACGAGTCAACCCTTTCAATACTTAATTCACGCGCCGCGATTTCATTGAACAGCACGCGTTTGTTTCGACGAAATTCGATAGCGAACGAAACGCGGCGCAACATTGTAATACGCGATAAGCAGGCTCAATTTGGTTAAACAATACGCGCTGCGAACAAAAGGAATGGCAAATGATAGGGCCAGCAGAGGAACGCTTTCACGGTGTGTAATTCCTTAACGATCCCTATGTACGAGCGTATGCTGGCCGTGGTACATGCTGTCTAAACGTACAATGGTAGCTCTCAAGCGAGAGACTGAGTGCATCGCGTACGAGCTGGCAACGGGAAAGTACAGACGAAAATAAGGAAGAGAAACGAACTGGGACAAAAGGAAATAAAAGAACAGTTGAGGGGGGGGGGTAGATTTAGGAATGGTTTAAGAGTACGAGGGACGGAATCGTTATCGGTCGTTTATTCTCCATTTGTTTCAGTGGTAATGGACGTGCCGTTGAACCCGTCCGCGGACACCGGCGGCTTCACCCTCGTCTACAAGCAAAACATACCCGACTTCCGACCTTACCTCGGCCCGTGTCTGTTCGTGTTCGGCAAGTCGATAACGCTCCAGGAACATCCGCGGAAACGGGAGAAGAAAAAGAAGGGCGGTAATAGCTGGATTAAACAGCAGCAGCAGCAGCAGCAACAACAACAGCAGCACCGAGCGTGGACTGCCCCGCCGATGATCCCACGGTTGAGGGAGCCGAAAATAGTCGACTTTATCGACTACTTGAACACGGCCCGGTGCACGGCCGCGAACTGACTCCGAGAATCGTCGACGAATCGTTGGTAAGTAAACGATTCCAGAAGTTAAAGTAAATAAAACGGATTCTAGAAGCTGAAACTAGAGACGAATAATGAATGCTAATGATAAAATTCCAGTGCCACGTGGCTTTTTGAACACAACGATTTCAAAAATTATTTATATGTACGATGGAAGTCTAAAATTTGATGTTCAACTTATAAGTGCATTGCGTGGGCAAAAAGATTTTGAAATAAATTTCTTCGTAGAGGAAACAGTAACCGCGGTTTAATTACTGTCGATATTCGTCGTGTTTTGGCTTCTAGAATTGACCTGCCGTGGAAGTCTCGAAATTTTATTAAGACGGCGCTTCGTATTTAATTAATCGAAGCGTACGGGATAAAGCGACGTAACTCTGGATACAGATTTAGAAGAGCAGGTCGGTCGGTCGGGCGATGGGCGGTGGGAGAAACCTGGGCGATGGAAACTCGTAAACGGTAGAGCTCGAAAGTCGTTAAAGTCGAAACGACCCAGTTTTTCGCGGAAAGTCGAACATCGAAACAGTTTTGGGAATGTACGCGTTCCACGGTTCAGCTTTCAACGACCAACCAGTTAAAAAACCGAGGCATCCTCTTTTTTTTTGCGATAAGCTTCCCTCGACGATCGCGGTGTTATTTTCAACTCGGCGATCTCTATTCGTCGCGTTACGGCGAATAGGAATTTCGATACATCGCGGGTCGCGGTTGTCGCGGTTCGCAAGAACGTTTAAGTTCGTTGCTCTTTTTGTTGCACAATCTCCACTCATCTCGCAGTTGCTCGCGGAAATATTTAAATGCTCGTTATCGAAAAATTGTATGTAAAGCAGGCAACATGCATATAAGTTTTAATAATCAATCGTAATTAACAGCCTTCAGTATTTAATTAGAAATTAAACATATCTGTAATATCATATACATTTTTTTTTATAAGAATTCGAATATTTCTGCGAGCTCCCGGCTAGGATGATTTACGTCCTCGTTTAATTAATAAGAAAGCAGGATATAGAACCGGCGGCGTCAAGACAGGATGCTGCGCTGCGTTGTCGTTTCTTTCGGCAACTTTTCCGTTAGTAGGATTGACTGAATTCGCTCATCGCTTCGGAGCTAACAAGAGGAATCACGTTTTCCGTGAAAATCTACCAAACCGCATGCGACGTGGTCGGAACAAATACTTACGCATTAATCTTTATGCGTACATCGACAAAGTCTTTTACTCTTTAATAAAACATAGACTATAAAACATCACGTCCAGAACTCAACGAAACCATGACTACTGTTTTATACAAAAATCATTTTTGAGATATCAATAGATAAACTTATAACATAAAATTCACTGAGTGTTCTGTGAAAATATTCCAAATCACACGCGACGTCGGGACAAATACTATATTAATCTTTATGTATGCATCGAGAAGAAAGTTTCAATTTAATTTCAATCCACTCTTTAATAAAACATAAGGTATAAAACATCACGTCCGGAACTCAACGAAACCATGACTACTGTTTTATAGAAAAATCATTCCTGAGATGTCAATAGATAAACTTATAACATAAAATTCACTCAATTGACATCTGTAACTTATGACATAAGCGGAAATAAATTTTAATGAAAATACAGGATACAGTTTTGCTGTCGAGTTCGGACGATGTTAAAGAAGAACGACTAGAAGGTAAAGACAATCGTTTTATTGATATGTACATACAATAAATTTATTTACAAATAATACAATAAATTTGTTCGACGTTGTAAGTTCATTTCGTCCTTGATGATGATGATATTATCTTAACAAAATACTACGCTCTTACCGATTATTGTGCCGTGCTGTGATACTTGAAAACTCTTTTGGTCACGGAAATTTTATTTAACGTTAATCGTAGGTAATAGTCGGTTTTACCCTGCTTAAATATTTGTTTATCCAAAGAACGTTAACGGTCTTAGGCGAAATGCAATTCAGCGCGACTCCTCGTTTTATTTATCGCGACGGTTTCATTTATCCTCTCCCCCATTTTTATTCCCTCTCGTCTTATCGTCTCTTTTCCGTCCACTTATACAAATATTATGTTAGCTACTATTAAAATTATAAAATGCATCGGCAGTATCTTGGCGTACGACGAGCTACCGTCACCGTGGTGCATCGCAGCCGGATGTTCCTCTGAAACAGAAATTGTTTTCCCATTCGTATGGAAGATATAAATAAATAAAATAATAAGCGCCATTCGTTCATTCATTCATTCATTCATTCATTCAGTAGAAACTGTTAGCACCATCAAGAAATTCTTTAAACGTCGTTTTGTAATAATTATCATGTAAATGCCAGATTGAACATCGAAAAAATGAGGCATACATTTATTGTCATTCTTTTAGAATTTGTTTTTCTCCCTACGAGAAATTAGCATAATCAAAAACGGGTCGGGAATCATTGCCGCAAGCTATATGTGGGACGAACCGGCGTTGATCAAGCATCGTTTTGTTAACAATTGCGGAGAATGATCGATTGGGTTTCGTTAAAAATTCTGGTGGCAGGCGGCGATTGCGACAATTAGAGAGGAAGAACGGGAACAGACGTTTTCGCGAACGGGGGATCAGTCACGATGATGACGGTGATAAATCACCGCGGTGTGCGACGTGTCACATCGATCTGCATTTGCGTCAGGTAAGGTCCATTCTACCGAGCAATTAACGCTTGAAGTTGATAAATAACATACCGGGAACTCAGCTTAACTTATTTCAAATTATTATCGTCCAATCCACACGCTCATAAAAAATTAACCGGCAGCTGCACCAATTACTGCATTCCTCTGTTCCCGTTAGATTTTTAAAAATATAAATAACGTACGCTAAAGCGATGGCAAATAATTAAAATCAGTTTTTACATGACTCGTTATGTACGTCACTAAATAATGATTTTCATGAAATTCTCAAATTTTAGTTATGCCCTTTATTTTATCCAATTCTATCTTTTGAATCATAGAAGAAACTTGATTTTCTTCAATGAGACCAAAAGTTTTAATAATTATTTATTATACAAATTATAATATATTAAATAATAAGCGAAGATAATACGGAATAAATTGAAAGAGTTAAATCGATCACGGAGATTGATTTCTAGCTGATTGTGAGTTCTAGGGCGCACCGTGTATTCGCGGAAGAACGAGCCGCCGTGAAATATTTAACGAGAAATCAATCAGAACGTAAACGAAAATCTGTGACGGATTCGGGCTTTGAAGCATTTCGGTCGACTTACCGTTAACAACATGAACCTTGATGGTGCTGGGATTTGCGTTGCTGGGCTGGCAAGTATAGGTTCCAGAGTCGTTCGGCACTGCTTTCTGGATCATTAAACGACTGGTCGTTTCTGGGCCCTTCTCCGTCACTAAGCTGACTCCGCCGCGCGGCGAGTCGAAATTAATTATCTGAAAACGAAAAGATAAAACTGGCTACATTTCACCCCGGTTTACCAAATGTTTAACTGCTCCTCGTAAAAGGACTTGCAGATTTTGTCGTTTCGGAACGAACTTAAGAATATTGTCGTTTGTCGTAGATACAAAATTAACCCTTTTAGTGCCAACGACGATGTTCAACTTCATTAAATGCAACAACTCTTAAATCGAAATTCCAGGGCCTTATTAAAGTTTCCTCATATTTGAAGATATCCTCTGGAATATGCGATTTTCCATATTCTTAGAATTTGTTTTCTTCGAATTTAACGTGTCAAAAACGCAGACATATCCTATACTATAGTAGTATTATACGTGGGAATTTTTTCCAATTCCTAGATTGCAAATTAGTATTGTAAAAATTGATAATATTCCATGAGGTTACATTTCCATCTTAATTAATAACTAATTAATTTCTCCTATTTTGATGATTAAAAGTTGAGAAGAAATCAGAAATGTAGTACTGTCGAACTCCAAGTTTGGAATTGAATGCAATAACTCTTAAGCTGAACCTCGAGTTGGCTGTCATGTTTAAAAGAGTTTATTGGAAAACTTAAAAAAAGCTATAAAACTGTCTTCGTAGAACTCAGACCGAAAATCGAACAGTGCTTCTTGTATTATTAAGGGTACACCTGTAGTTAAAAAAGTATAATATTGAATCCTGGAGCGCGTTCGCAATCATTGCATCAAAGCTAGATCGCTTTCTCATATTCCCATAGATGCAGGCTCTTCCTGATCACACACATGCATGATCCTTTCCAGCAGATTTTCGCGCTACCATGTAATACTGTTCCTTCATACGAAGACAAAAGGCATTTTGCTTGAAGGTTCGCGGGAAGAATGGTAAAAAGATGGATATATATATATATACATATCTGCGTGAGCCCACATTCTCTCCGGACGCGTATTCCCTTTGAGTCCGACCCCTACAAAGAACCATCGCGAGCACGTAAAATGAACGGCGAATACCCGACTTACCGTGCCGTGGCTCGAGTCGGAGCCGGAGCATTAACCGCGAGCCGAGCATTATACGTACTATCACCTTATCATACGCGTCTTACAAGATCTCTCCCGAGCAAATTTTCAAAGCTCGTTGAAATTCAAATCGAAAATGCAGAATACAGCTACTTCAAATATCTTTTCATGAGCTGTTTTATTC